TGTGCAGTGTGGAGGGCGGTGAGAGGAGCCCAGGATGAGGTTAACTGTGACACTCTGTTCGGAACGAGTGATAATTCAGAAAATTTCACCCAACTTTCCCCATTACCAAGTCAGATACGAATGGACTTGTTTCCCTGGGTTATGAAGGGGGGGGGGAGAGGGTGAGGGAGGGAGAGACAGAGGAGGGGGAGATGGTGAGGGAGGGAGAGACGGAGGGTGAGGAAGGAAGAGAGGCAGAGGAGGGGGAGACGGAGGGTGAGGAAGGGAGAGAGAGAGAAGGAGGAGGGAGGGAGGGAGAGAGACAGGAGGGGGGGGGGAGAGGAACGGAGAGGGTGAGGGAGAGAGACAGAGGGCCAGGTGGAAAGAGACGTAGGGTGTAAAGGAGGGAAGGAGGAAGGTAGGAAGAGTGGAGAGGAGGAAGGAAGAGATAATGCAAAGAAAGGAAAGAGGGAGAATACAGAGAAAGAATGTAGGAGGAAGGGACTTGTGGAAGAAGGGAGAGGAAGAACAGAATGAGGGAGATTCACCTCTCATATTCTACTCTTCTTTCCTGCCTTCTCTTCCTCAGAACTTTCATCCTCTTCTCGTCTCTCTCCCTTCCACCTCACCCTCTCCTCTCCCCTTCCACCTCACCCTTACCCCTCCCCTTCCACCTCACTCTCTCCCCCCCTTCCACCTCACACTCTTTCCTCCCTTTCCACCTCACCCTCTCCTCTCCCTTTTTCCTGACGAACGGAGTTTTCTGAATAAAGATTATTAATAAAAGAAACGCAGCGATCCTAGTAACAGCGTTAGATGGTGAATATTTTATGGTGAGGGAGGAGTAATATGTGGATAGTGAGAGTTGGTTACTGTGGGTGATAGTGGAGGACGGGTACTGTGGATGATGGTGATTGCTAGATATTGTAAGTGATAGTGAGGATCGATGGTGTGGATGATGGTGACAGATATATAAGTGATAATGAAGGCTCGATAGTGTGGATGATGGTGAACCGCTAGATATTGTGATAGTGACACAAAAAGATGGTGCGGATGATGGTGAAATATAATGCTCACCATTTCCAGCTAGGTGGACTGGGAGTGTTGTATCCACTCGGCCTCTGCATTCTACTGTAGAGTAAAAAAAAAAAAAAAAATCTCAGAACAAACTCGTGGTACCTGGAACGCCATTGTGTAGTGTACTTCGGGTTACCCTAACATAGTACCTGGCACTTACTGATGATTACCCTCTACTGCCCTAATTACCATAACTAATGTACAATTTGTGGAATATAGGTGTAACGCTGTCCGGGTAGGGTGGTGGCGGGTAGTTACGGCAGTGTGTTGTGTGGGAATAAATAAAGGTGGGTAGGGTGAACGGGTTTACGAAAATATGTAGGGTAATGTAAACTATTCTTTTTCTACTTGTTTTTCTTCTTCTTACGAAAGTATGAGGAATAGTGTAAACTTTCTTCTTCATCTTGTATCACTTATCGTCTTTTCTCCATCCCTTTATTTTCTTCAGTTACGGCTCTACACTCGCCATTACAACAAAATTAATGAATGAGAATACGACAAATTGTGAAGTTTATTATCTGAATTCAAACATATTTTTAGACTTGATTTAAAAACACGATCCCGGGGGAGGTTTGTATGATAATGTCTGAGACTTACTATCATTATAAACAATACAAAAAGTAAATACGGCTCTAACCCTCAAACATAACATAATTCTGCATTCAAAAATCTTGGTTATAAACGCCTGGGGTTAGGAAGGCGTGTTTAATAATATCTGAGAAACGATTCTTTAATAATTCATAAGAACGTTCTCGAGTTGAAGGATAAAAATGTTCATAACACACACACACACACACACACGCACACACAGAAGCTGGTAGTGATGGTAGATTGGCCTGTCTCGCTACAGAGAAATAAACACAACTCATATTATTATTTTTACCGTGAGTCAGCTGGAGATGGTGCCAAACGCTGTGTATTATTTTAGTGTGGTAACCTGCTGGCCAAGTCTCCCTCTGGTGAGTCTCTTCAACACTGTACAATACTACATGAATCTTACTTAATAAATATTCATCAGTTATAATGAAATGGTGTATAGGAGACCGCAATTCCTAGGAGGCTAAAGCGTTTCGTCCCCATGGAAGACTTTGGTGGGGTCACGGACAGAGAGAGAGAGAGAGAGACACACCTATATTCAACCCTGACCTTGACTTACACATGAGACATATTCAAGGTAAATAAGAACATCCAAAGCCCTAATAGTTCTCTCTGTCAAGTACGGAGACAAACAAACAAACGGACAGAGGCAAATGGTGTGGAGGATAAGTCTAGTTTTCAGAGAGTTGTTGGAGTGCTGTATGTAACTCTTATACTTTCTTTAGTTCTAGAGAAATTTGACTGTAAACTAGATTGATGTGTAGTGTAAGTGAGGTGTAGATGATGAAGTGTAGTAAAATGATGGAGTGGTATGGAAGTGTAGTAAGTGATGAAGTGTAGTAAAGTGATGAAGTAAAGTGTAGGTGGTTAAGTGTAGTGTAGGTGGTAAAGTGTAGTGTAGGTTCAGTAGTAACAGCCGTTCTCACCACCACAACACACACACACACGTCAACAACAACTCACGCTGTACGACACGACTACCAACCAATCCCCTCTCCCTCAAACACGACAACCAGTGATACATTTTACTCGGATTTAAGGACAATGCGAAGTAAAGACAACCACACACGTACACACAAGAGCGTCCGCAGCGTCAACCAATGTTCCAGTCCCCCGGACGGCAGCTTCCATTTTCAGCGGTTTTCCAGCCAGTGCCTCGAGGAAGTATTGGGGACCACCAAATGGAGCAGTCGTTCCCCCCATATGTCTCGTTGAATGATCGTTTGTGCGACCTCACAGGAAACGAGGCGACGCACAGGAGGAGGAGGAGGAGGAGGAGGAGGAGGAGGAGGAGGGGAGGAGAGAGAGGGGAGATGGACGAGGGGAGACTGGGCCAAGGGCTGAGTCCACACACTGGACCTTCCTCCAACCCCCCTTTCCCCCACCTCCACACCCTCCTTCGGCGAATGAAGGGGATATCATTTCTGTAACTGTCCGGACAGAGATCAACGTTACCCGCCTGGAAAATGTAATCCAGAATTACTGTATTCACACACACACACACATATATATATATATATATATATATATATATATATATATATATATATATATATATATATATATATATATATATATATTCAACACCGAATTAGATTAAGCTGGGGGTTTTTTACGTTGCCATTACTTTGACTCTCAACGATGAAAAATTTGGGTTGGTGTGAGTCATCTTCAAGGAACAAGTACACGCGCAGCCGTAATCCTCAGCGAGAAGGCGGCAGTCTTTTAAAACGGTAAACGGCCAAGTTTGGGTTCCAATGTTCTTGATTGATCCACTGGAAAATTGGTAGAATAATAGCGACCGCGAGAAATTAGTGCGACCGCCCGGAAACCCCGGAGATAAACCCTTCAAATTCATATGAATATTAACGAGGCGAGGCTGAGGCGGGGACGTGGCCGGGCCCCACGAGGCGCTCCTTCCCGAGATAATCCTCACCAATACGTTAGAATTATCACTTAGGTCCAAAATGAGGAGATATTTGTATTTGAGTCTTGATGGCGGAGAACATTTGTGACATACAGTGGCCTCTGTGGTGATCAATTGTGTAAGGATAAATGAAGTGTAGTGTATTATGCACGCTGAGTGGCCGCCCTCAAGGAGACGAGAGGGAGGGGGGGAATAAATTAGGATAAACGGGGGGGGGGGTGGAGGAAGACACACACACACACACACACACACATGGAGACGGCGACCAACTTTGCTTCTCTGACAAGAACAAATGTTTATAATCTTATTCAAAGTAACTTGTCAGTGAAAGAACAGGATATGTGGATAGACAGATAGATAAGGAGTATGTGAATGAGAAAAAGAGAGGTAGAGAGAAAGAGAGGGAAGCAAGGCAGGGAAGGAGCACTTAGCAGCGGTCACTTGTTCAGGGTATAATCTAGGTTGATGCGACTGTTATGGCTGGTGTATAAAGTGGGTACCGCCCGAGGCTGTTTCACGCTACATAAACGGCAGACGTATTGTATTGCACGGTGTATTCTCTCGTGCGCTCGCTCACCCACGCCCACAAGAAGAAAGAAGAAAGAGTGGAAGGAAGAAGTAAAAAACAAAGAAGAGAACACTAAGAGAAAGATAAATGGGAAAGGACTGAGATAAAAAGCATTATAGGTAGTCATGCCTTTTTTAACCCATCAGACGTTCCACATATATTTTTAATGCCATAGTGACTTGTCTCATTAGCGTTACTCCGTGATCTAATTGATTGTAATGCTAAGCTACGAGCCAATAATCTCCGGTGACTGCGACATCCGCTCAACTAGCTGGATTCCGGTGTGGTGGTGGTGTGTTAGTGGTGTCCGGTGTCCGCTACTGCTCACATCTCTCTTACCACTGCTTGTATACTTGAAATCTTATATAGTTAGTCACCAGACATCCCAGAAAAAAGAAATCTTCACCATTACGTCCAAGGATTTATTATTTTCCTTGTGAAGAATTCTGTCTTCACGCCTGTGATCTGTCGGTGTGGTGTACAGGTCCTACTCCAGGGTGCACTCCTACTGTTTACAATCATACTCTGACGTTCTTCACCTCTTAACTTCCATAACAAAATGTTCTATCTACTGTGTAGTCATTCTCGAATGCCTTTTCCTCTCTTTACAGCTATACCCAAGTGCTGTCACTCCTGCTGACAACCATAATTCAATGTTATTTCTAGTCACATACGAAGTCTTTTCTATTGATTACGGTCACACTAGAATGCTCTGTCTTGATGACAGCCATTGTGTAGCTGTCCCCGTGACTAACCTCCCGCTCTCCGCTGTAATAAATACAATGCAACAGTAAAACAGACAGTATCACCGACCATTTTGTTTAATGATCTGTCTTTTTTCCACTGCCACAGGTACGGTGCCGGTTATGACCTGGCCGCCCGCAGGAAGAACGCCACCCGAGAATCGACGGCGACGTTGAAGGCGTGGCTGAACGAGCACAAGAAGAACCCTTACCCCACCAAGGGAGAGAAGATCATGCTGGCCATCATCACCAAGATGACCCTCACACAGGTACGACTTCCTCCTCCTGCAGGTGGTGGTGGTGGCGGCGTTAATGGTGATGGTGGAGTTGATGGTAGTGGTAATGGTACTAGAGGCGGTGATGATGGTACCGCAGATAACGTCGTTTCTCTGTTAATGACCAATTGTAATGGTTATTGTTGGTAATAGTGGCCGGCAGTAATGGTGTCCGGTGGTGATACTGACGCAAGAACGGTGCTCCACTTGCTGGTGACCGGTGCTAATGGTGATGGTAACATTATAACGCCGCTGTTCATGTTGGTAACGTGTCACACTCCTTGTTAAGACTGGTGATTATGGTGGTAACATTGGTGGAGGTGGAGACGGTGTTTCTGAGGGTGGTGATGGTGTCACTGTACTGGTGACTTGCGTTATAATGGTGACACAAGCTAATGTCAGTAGTCTCAGTACTCATATATGGTCATCAATGAACAGTATTTTAGTTCCAGTGGCATTATTGTCTGCTATCATATACCTCCCTATAGTCCACTCTCAAACTACCTCCCCTCAGTTGGTCTAGGTCTCAAGTCGTCTTTGAGTACAGTACTTGGACAAGGAAAATATAAGACATCTTGAGTCCTCTTACATGACTTAGCATAAGGTGTATTACCAAACCTTTTGATTATCATCTTCAATTTCTTTTTATGCTCCTTCTTTATTACAATTTCCATTAACCTTTCTTCGTCCACATTGTTCATTTCCCCTAGTCATTCTTATTTATTTCTGAACATCATTCTCTCCTCATAATTATCTAGTTTTGATCTTCCTTTCCTTCGTCTCTTTAGTTCAAGTGTTCAACACCCTTTTCCATCTTTATCAACTATCTCCTTTCTCGTCACAGGTGTCGACGTGGTTCGCCAATGCACGTCGGCGGCTGAAGAAAGAGAACAAGATGACGTGGGAGCCGCGTAACAAGACTGACGATGACGACGCTAAACTCTCCGACGACGAGGACGACGAGAAGGAACCAGGAGATAAAGACGATGATGATATCAAGAAGGACGACAAAGATGGCGACGCTACTAGTGAGTACCCGCAGGGCTTTTTTTCAGCAGTGAAATTAGAAACTGAAATGTTAAGTACTATAGAAAGAATTTATACACCGAAAGGAAAAAAAATGGTGCTTAAAGGATGAGGAGATACGACCATTGAGCAAATCAGATGCGTAGCAAAAAAGAATACTAAAACCTGACGAGCTTATTTACGTCGCTATTCAAGAACAACTCCAGCTAAGTTGATCCATATTACGATTTTTAAGTTGACGTCAGACACCGTTATATCCCCCTCCAAAAAAAGTTACCCCCAAATAAGAAAACGGGAACTGTGTGACATCAAAGGTGATTTTATATGTGTAAAATTAACTTAACAGTATCGTCTTGGGGTAAGTTTAATATAAGTGTTACAAGGGGAAAAGCAAAATAGTTTCCCCTTTTTGAGTTTATTTTGTTAAGTGAAGTCAACTGTTTCCCGCACCAAAGAAAGGCTTTCCCTCTGCTCGCCGCCACATTTTTGAAACGGAAAATGTGTTTCTGACCAAAGAACAAGGTTTGGTGGTCATAGGATACTTTTTTATTATTATTATTATTTTTTGAGGCGATTAGATCGAATGTTTCCCCTCTTTTTCTGCTGGTTCACTTGTCGACACCTTGCATACTAAACCAAGTAAAAATTACGACAGAATGCAGGAAGGTCAAGTTCAGGTGACTTGAATGTGAGACGCCGCAGAATGACTGTCGAGTGGCGGCCGACACGAGGATGACTGTCGCAGGGAGTAATTGAAGTGTAAAACGTGGAGAGTGACTGTGGACTGGAAGACGCAGAGAGTGGGTGGTAAAGAGCTAATGAAATGGAAATGAGAGAACAGAGTGGCGGTGAACGGAAGTGACTGGGAGATAACACCTGATTGACTGCAGATGGCGTAAAATTGAGGAAATTATGTAACAGTTGGAAGTGACGCCAGGATGACAACAACAACGAGATAATATAAAATAATACAGTACATTCAACATAAATTTAATAAGAAAAAATAAAATTACAACTTTACTTTAATATGAAGATGAAAAATTAACAATAGAATGACGTAGGGCAATTAGCACTTATATTAATTTAATAAGACTTAGAACAATTAACAGTGGCCTCAAAAGAGTTCTTGGAAAATAACATACTTCACTATAGATAATGACGTTAACGACACAGTTAGTGCTACCTGTTTCACACTACAATATCATTATTTCTTTTAATGCTGGATATACAGTACCTGATTGACTTTCCCGCCTCTGGTGTTGCCGCCGCCAAGTTTTTGTGACGTGTTTTTATGAGTGTTTAACTGGTTCACTTGTCCATTAGTGTGTATGTACTGCCAGGAGTATGTTAAGTGGACTTGTTTTATAAGCATGATGACCACTTTTTCCTTATACGTGTAAATTTCCCCCCACAAAAGCCACCATCCCACAATAAAAAATATATTTGTCAAGGCCATAACTGATACACATTTCTGAGACGAGAGACTGACATTGATTAGTCAAACGATCGTCTGTTTTAAAGCAAAGGAGTTGAATACCAGAACTTTAAACCGGAAGACGTGAATACGTTTTCAGAAGCGGGTGTGGTGGTGTTACACTCCACCCAACACACTCATCTGTATGTACCGGGTTTACCTCAGCCATTCTGCTCATCTTCCCACACCTTACTTCCTCTCTTACATCATTATTGTATAGTTGCTGTTATGGGTGTTGTTGTTGGTATTATTATTATTGTTATTGTTATTATTATTATTATTATTATTATTATTATTATTATTATTATTATTATTATTGTTAACAGTATTATAGTCATTGTTTCCACCGATATTGTTATTATGCCTATTATTACCTTTGATTTTGTTATATTTATTATTGTCATTAATGTTATTACTATCAATTTGTTTACCAGATAGTTTCTAATAATAATAATAATATTAATAATAATAATAAGAAGAACAACAACAACAAGAATGACGATAGTGTTAAGAACAATGGTGCCCTTGGTCGGACTAACACCTGCCAAGGAGATGGAAAAAACCCACCAGCTGATAAATGTTAAGAATCAGCTGGATACAATTATAAAACAACTGAACAGGAGATATTACTGGACTAAGCACACCCAGGCTACGGCTCGAGGAACAAGTGCTCCATCTCTTCCTTCCTCCGCTCCCTCTCTTTCCGCATTTCACCCACTGCCCTCCACACCTCTCCTACAGCTCTCATTTGCTCCTTCCACACTTCACCTACTACCTCCACACCTTTCCTCCCTCTCTCCTTCCACACCTCTCCTAGTTCCCTCTCTCCCTCCACAGCTCATATACTGTCCGACTGTTCTCTACACCTTAATTCCCTACTTTCTTCCCTCCACACCTCTCCTCCTTTCTTCCCTCCCTCCAGACCACAACTACTTCCTTCCCTCTATCCACACCCCACTTACTGCCCTGCTGTTCTCCACACCCTGGCCCCTTACTTCTTCCCCTCCACTTTGTTACCCTCGTCCAATCCCTCTCCACCTCAACAACTGCTCCTTCCCTCCACAACTTGGTATATTTGTTCCCTCCTTTTTAGTAACCTTCGTTTCCTCCTTTTCTTTGTACTTTCGTTTCCCCTTTCTCTTGGTTCCTTCCTTCCTTCCCTCTCCACCTCAACAAATTCCCCTTCCTTCCCTCCCCACCCACCTTGGTACCCTCCCTTCCTCCACCACCCAACAGCCGACCGAGACATTACCGTGTTGCCAATGAGAGACAAGTGCTGATTTTAACAGGACGTGGCGTCAAACAATTGTACAAGATTGTCGAGAGCCGCTGTGGTGTGGACAGGTTGATTGGTGGACTGTGATCGATGGCCAGTTAGGCGAGCCGCTTGTCGTCCCAGCCCGGGTATAATATCCGTCACTCCCAGCTACGCCACTTTGATGTACTGCCATTTTTTTTGCCTCTTTTGTGTATGTTGAGCGCGATTTTGGTAGGGGATTTATTATTCAAATGTGATTGATGATGTAAAGAAGACCAAGGACGTCTCTCACATCCCATGCACTCGACCCGTGGGATTTAATTCATACTTGTGTAGACATTTATCAAGGTAATGTCTCACTGTTATCATACACCTGTTTGGTTTATGCTGAGAATATTCAGGCCTTAAACACACACCGACTACGTTATTCTTACAGGTTCTGCTTATATATTGGTTTTAATGTCGACTTACTACACCTGTTAGAATTGAGTAACCTGGAATAAATACATATTTTAAGACAGTGAGTGAGAGAGACAGGGAGAGAGTGTGAGAGGGATGGAGGGAGGGAGGAGGAGGAGAAGGAGGGCCAGGGAGGGCAGGTGTGGTGGTGAGGTGCCGCCACAACCTCCCGCAACACCTGGCAACTCTCTCAGGTGCAGCCTTCTAACGCCATCACTCAACCTCCATCCTCTTTGTCATCGTCTATTGCCAAATTTCACTCATCATTACGTTACGCACGACTCAGATCACCATCCAGTAATTCATAGAAATTTAATAATGCTTAAGTGATAGAGGACAATGATGGTTAGTGGCGGGAGGTGATACGCTGAATCTAAAACAAGTTCCCAGGGCGAGGGAGACAGATGGAGCGCTGAGAGGGTGGTTACCTGGGGTAGTGGTGGTACTGGTACTGGTGGTTACCTGGAGTGGTGATGGTGGTTACCTGGTGTGGTTGTGGTTACCTGGAGTGGTGGTGGTGGTGGTGGTGCTGGTTAACTGGTGTGGTTGTGGTTACTTAGGGTAGTGGTTACCTGGAGTATTGGTTGTGGTTGCCTAGGATGGTGGTGGTTACCTGAGGTAGTGGTGGTTGCCTGGGAAAGTGGTGATGGTGGTAGTAGTGGTGGTTACCTGGGAAAGTGGTGGTGGTAGTAATGGTGGTTACCTGGGAAGGTGGTGATGCTGGTAGTGGTAGTTACCTGAGGTGGTGATGCCTGGGGTGGTGGTTACCTGGGGTGGTGGTAGTTGTAGTAGTGGTAGTTACCTGGGGCGATTGTGGTGGTGTTACTGGTAGTTGTGGTTACCTAGGGTGGTGGTGGTGATGGTAGTATTGGTGGTAGTGGTAGCAGTAGTAATGGTGGTGGTGGTGGCAGCAGTACCAGCTCCCCACACCCTCGCTCACTGGGTCACCACACAGACGCCCCCTGTGTACACACGGTGACCTCCAATGATGGATAATTAAAAACTACGGAAGTATAAAAAGGTTTACATACTGTATGATGGAGAATAATTTCTATAAGTATTGAAGAAGGAATGTAATGAGGATAATAATGTCGTAAAACGGGTTAATATTACAATAATTGGCAATATCAAGCATTTAATGGTTATTAGAATCGACGTGATGACCGTTTAGTGAAGATAATAAAATGTGGTTACAAGGTCAAGCACTTAACTCCCTCCGTACGACGGGAAGTAGTGCAATAAGTGACTTAACCTCCGCTCCGCCCATACTGTCAGCGCCCAGGCGGCGTCTTCCTCCCTCACGCCGCCACATGCTCCTCAACACTCTGGTACATATTACAATTACACACAACCAAATATTCACATTAATTTCTAACTTTAAAAATTTCATACTAAAGTACTAATACCAGCTAGGAAAGTTCATCGTCAACACCCCCTCATCCACACTGCCACAAAACGTCTACACTCACATATGAAGTCCAGGCCACGAAATATTGACTCGATTTAGTATCTGACTTAAAACGTTGGCTGATAGACTAATAACATCCGGTCCAGACATACTGTCAGCACTTCCTCACACCGCCAGCCAGACGGATAGATAAAAGTGCAGAGAACACAATATTTATTCCAATACCTGACTTAAACACTGGTTAATATTACTCTATGGTTTTACGCACACTCGCTACTCAACACAATTATTACCTTTACCTAACGAGTTCATTTCTTGGCTTAGTATATTGACAGATTAAATAATATTACTTGTAAGGACTAAGGAGTGTATTTCCCCACCATGAATACTCCCTCTTGTTCAC